GGGCAGCTGCAGCTCCACGGAGAAGACGCAGTTGTCTGAGGGCCGGGCCTGAGCTGCATCCACCAGCCTGGGTCCCAGCTGCTGGCTCAGGAAGCCCATCACAGCAGTCAGTTCTTCCCGGCTCAGGTCTGCAAACAGCTGGCTCTGATCATCCTGTGTCCAGGGCTGGGCAGTGGGCGATTCCGAGGGGCAGCGGGGAGTCTGACCGTGCGCACCCGCATCTCCACCCCTGCCAGCTAACAGGACACACACCAGGGCGAAGATAGTGATGACGGCAAGCAGGAGCAGCACCAGGGTGGCCTTCTGGCTCATCGTCTCCTGAACCAGAGGCTGGAAGCAGGGTGGAGAGGTGTGTGCCCGCCTGAAGGAGGGGGATCGCTCTTGGCGTTGGTGCTGGTGGGTTCCTGGGAGCTAGGCACACAGCAGGCGGAGAGCTGGGAAGTCCAAGAGCCAAGCTGGGGGAAAGGGGCCGGGCCAGGGCTGGGGGCGGATCTGAAGCCCAGCAGCAGCAGAGATTTCCACAGACCTTACATGGCTTTGTCCTCCAGGCTCTAAATCAGACTCGGCACTCCAGATCTGCACTGGGGTTGGGAGGTGAAGGAAGGAGCTGGACTTGGGGGAAGTGGGTAGGGTGAAGACATTTTCGAGACACTGCAGCTGGTGGGCAAGAGGCAGGAAGTGCACCACTGGCACAGAGCAGCCCCCTCACCCACCCCTCTGAGCCCAGCTTCTGGCCCCAGTCCCCACCCGCCCAGAGCCAGATGTTCCCCTTCCTGGAACTGCAAACAATTGTTCTCCTTCCAAGGAAATGTCTACTCCCGGCCCCGCTGGGCTTCCCAAGTGAGGTCCTGAGCCAGGCCTCTCTCCTTTCCCCTTCTCACCTCTCCTCCGCTGAGTTCTTGGGCAAGAGTCTGGAACATTCATTCTCGGGGGAACTCTAGAGAAATTTAAAAGTCCAACAGAATCCAAGCAAGCAAGATCCTTGCTATTCTTTTTATTGCAGATCGCACAGACGATGTAATTCAGTTCACAACATGCTACTAAACATTCTTCCATGTGACTGTACTGCCATAAAAAAAAGGTCGTGTATGAAAACAAGGCTCCCCCAAAGTGCACACGAGCTATCTCTGAGTGGTAGGGTGCGTGCTAGTTTTGCTGGAGTATTTTAATATCCTTCAAATAAGTCATTAACGTATGAAGGTGAACGGGGGCGCAAGAGAACTGAAGAAATACAGGTGGCCACTCGGCCAGCGGCTATTTCCAAATGGCCGTGAAGCGTGTGGGTATCAGAGGAGCAGGGTCCAGGAGGGAGGGCGGGAAAGGGGGCGTGGCAATAGAAGAGGGTGCTTGTGCTTCAGCGCCCCGTGTCCCACCCTAGCCTGGGCGCTAGAAGCCTTGGTAAGAAAAAGGGGGCAGATCGGGGGCACAGGCGGCCAGGTGAGGAACGCAGGCCACGGGGTTGACACTGCAGAGCCCAGCATCCTGGCCCTTCTCAAAGTAGACACTTCCCGGGGAGAAGATGGAGGGGTCCTCATCAAAGAAGTTGTAGGGTCGGAGCAAGAAGCCGACACCGTTCCCCACCGTCACGGTGTTGGGGACATCCTCTGCGTGGGGGATGTGCAGGAAGCTGGCTGTAACCCAGGCCACCAGATCCTGGAGGAAGAGGGAGGAGCTGGAGGCCTGTGGGACCAGAAGCCCCACCCAAGCCCCAGCTCCCCGCTCTAATCCCCAAGCTTCCGGCCCAGGCCTGTGTCCACACTGGGGCCAGGCGCCAGAGCCTGCCAGCCAGCCTAGCTACACAACATGCCATGGTGACCCAAGGGCTGGTCACCAGAGCACCCTTGGCGTCTGTATTTGAGAACTGGAGGCCTGCCATGCCCTCCAGGGAATCCAGCCGGGACACTGGGCTCTTTGCACCTAGGGCCACCAACCTCTCCTAAGAGGGTCTCGTTGTTGATGAAGTCGGCAAAGGCCACTGTGGGTGTCCAGATGTCATTCTGGTGGTAGATGCTGCTGCTGTGTGACTCCTCTTCCTTCCTCCGCGTCACCGCTAGCTGGTATCTGACCGGGCATGGTCAGAGGGAGGGAGGGTCAGAAAACGGCAAGACCCTGACCAGCCCCAGAGTCCTGTGGGTCAGACTGATGGGCCATATCCCATCATCCCAAATCTACTTAGACTTGGGGAGACTGGGATGGATTGTGAGCATGGAGCGTGAGCTGGGGGGATCCCCAGGGGCTGAGATGGGGCTGAGAGCCCATCCTTCCCTCTCACCCACTGCGTGGGGTGCCCCTCACCTTCCCCAGCTGAGGGCCCTCTCCATGGCACTCTCCGGGGGCATGTGTATGCCGAGGGGGCTGTGGACCTGGATTCGGTACCCACGCTGGTGACCCCAGGCATTGGTCCGATTGCTGGCCAGGTAAAGGTAACGGGGAAGGCGGCTTCCCAAGGCGAAGGCGGCCAAGCCCTCCCTTTCCAGGACCTGCCGGGTCAGCTGTGGGCGATACAGCTGGTGCTCCGGGCTCCAGGGGGCTGCCATAGGCTTGAACACCACGTCTTCGGCTACTACCCAGTTTTCCAGCCCTGCCAGGGGAGGGGAGGGAAAGGAATTCCACACCAGGTGAGGTCACCTGGCCAGGAGCCTAAGGTCTAGATGCAAGTGCTATAGCTTGCCTTCCAGCCTGCCTTGTCCAGTGTGATGTCCCTTTTCAGTCTTGGGCAAGGCGCCCGGGGGCACTGTGAGGTTGGGCTGTCAACCCAAAGGCCGGCCGGCCAGATCCACCAGCTGGAGAGTGTGGGAGCTGCTTGCCTCCCGGATGATGTCCAGCCTCGGGAACCCTCTCTCAGGCGGCTGGGAGGCAGAATCGACTTGATGGTGCTGCATTTGGCGGGGATCTCACGCGAGGGGCCCTGGTGCTGGCACGGCGGCTAAGCGCCGGGCTGCCAACTGGAGCCCGCTGGCTACCCGGTGAGGACCGAAGTGGCCATCTGCTTCTGTCAAGCTGGGCAGCTTCAGGAACTGCACGCGGTAGTGCCACTCTGTCCTACAGGCTTGCTGAGGGTCAGGACCGACGTGGGAGTCAAGGAGCTTCGCTTTACTCACCTGTGCCCGAGTTAAACAAAGACCACCTGAGACGCTTGTTCCTTAGCCCGCTGGCCACACTGCAGAACGCCGTGGCTACGAGGGACGGTAGCTGACCCTGGCCAGTGCACACGGAGAACACTGCTGGCAGGCCTGTTCGCCCAGGCCTGTCTACCGACAGCCCTGGACCAAGAACTGTTGGACCGCGTCTCCGGCTCTCTCTGCCTCTCTGCACTGGGGGACGTCACCTCCACCATTCGACCTCATGGAACCAGTGGGAGGGCCCGAGGAGTGACCCAAGCCGCTGTGCTCTAAGAACTGAAAGCCCCACGCAGGCGTCGAATACTCTCACAGCTCTGGGAATTGGCTGGAAAATGTCAGCCCCCTCCCACGGCCCCCTGCACACTCCGTCCAGCCGGAGACGGCGCTTTCTTCCTGAGACTCGGGCCGTCTTTTCTCTCGGGAAGCAGGCAGATGTTTCTCTCTTGGCTGTCTGGAGCTCTCTGAAGGCCACTGCGTTCAGATCCTGCAGACCCCGCTAGGGACGGCCTTTTGGTCCGTCCGTCTCGAGGCGCGGTTGCGTTTCTGCTCTTACGTGTGGCCCACCTCAAAGACCGGCACAGGGAAGACTCTGGAGGTTGGGCCTCCTCCTGCGAGCGGGGTTTGTCCACACGACCTCACGGCCGTCAGTCCTTTCGGACGCAGAGCGACCCCAGAGGGCAGAATTGGGTGGAACTGCCCTGCTGGGGTTTCCTGAGGCTGAGAACAGAAAGTATCCCCCTTGTGGGTTCAAACTGCTGACCCGGTGTTCGGCAGCCCGACTCGCAATGCACTCGCTACGCCGTGCACCCTGGGACACAACCGGGAGGTGCCCTTTCCTCCCCACAGGAGGCTCTGGGATGCCAGCGAAGCTGGAGAAACGCCACAGGTTTAAGGAGCCTGGTCGTACAAGGTGCTTATTCCGATAGCACTTAGCACTTGCATTTCCGCGCCCCGCCCCCCCCTCTCCTGCCCCCCCTTTCTTTCTAGGAAAACGCTTCACAAATGTCACATGGCGCTGTCCTCGGGCGGTAGGTCACTTCCTGCCCCCTCATGGCCTCCAACTGTGCAGTCAAGATGGTCTGGTACATTTCATCTTCTTTCTTTCTGGGCCTGACGTGATGATTTGATGACCCAGCTCTGGACCAGATCGGTGAAGAGCAGCAAGTCCTCTGGAGAAATCGCGTTTGGCACTGGCAGTGGCCGGGCCTGCCCATCACTGCCGACAGGATGGCCTGGCCCTCCCCGCGAGGAAGGGCCCACTGCCCGCCCTGTGTTCGCAGGTGTCTGGCAGCCTGTGGAGGAACCCCTAGTTCCTGAACTGCACCCCAGCTGTTTCCAGGACCAGCCTTGCCTTGAAACCGTCTCCTGGACTTTTCCTTCCTTCTAATGGCAGGTCCGGGCCGTCATCACCCCTCCCCCCCAACTAACCCTCAGAATTGGAGGAAGACCGAATTCCAGCCCCATCCAAGCTACACCTGCTCCCACACTGCGGGACAGGGTCACAGTCGCCCAGGCAGGCCCACGGCACACAGCAGGGGCTCAGGCCGGCATGACCGTGACCCCTTTCCCAGTCATCTCAGCAGGTCTGTGGGAGAGGGAACCTTTTCTATCTTGTGCCCGATGCCCAATATTCTAGACTGTCTGCAGTGGAAGCCGACTCACCATGACCCTAGAGAAGGGCAGAGAACGGTCCCTTTGGGGACATGAACCTTTCCAGGAGCAAGAAATCTCCATTTCCCCCTCAGTGACTGGCTGGTGGGCTTGCACGGCTGACTCTGGTGAGCGGGTCAACACTTGGCCCACTATGCCCCCAGGGGTGTTTCTGCGTTGCCATCACCCCAAGGGCGTCTGCAGGAGAGTTCACTGAAATGAGCCTGTTACCCATCGCCACAAATACAGTGATGCTGACACCCCGTCTTCTCATCTCTTCTGGAGACCTCGCCCCGCCTCCCACCTGCTCCACCCCTGGCCCCTGGCTCACTCACCTGCCACATCCAGGTCCAGCTTGAAGTGGAAGGCGTGGGTGTGCACAGTCCCCAGCACATGCTCCTTCACGCGGTTCCCAAAGAGGAGGCTCCCTTCGGCCCCGCTCAGGAAAGCTGTGTTGATGTAGCCTGTGGCATGAACCCGCCCTTCCACCGCCCCAGTGGGGTGCAACACAAACTCCCAAATGTAGTCATAGTTTCCCACCGATGAGACAGACCTGACCACAAGGGCTGAGCCGGCCAAACCGCCATAGAAGCGACTCCCAAGCCGATTGTGGTGTCTGCGAAGGGGCAGTCCCGGGGCCTCCTCAAACACACACACGGCACCGGGGAGCAACTGGACTGTCCCTTTGCCTACTAGGATGTGGACGTCCACCATTGTGGCCTGATAGGGGCAATCCACACCCCGTACCAAGCCCTGGCTGTTACGGCCAAGCCCGTAGCTGCTGTCCAAGTACCGGGTCAGCATGGTCTTTGGTGACTCTCCACCATAGACAGATAGGCACTCTTGGACACTGACCTCATAGGCCACTCGCTCACCTTTGAACCGAATGTCAAAAAGCCTCAAGCCACTGTACACCCCATGGCCAAAGGAAAATGACCAGAGCGAGGAGACCACCAGGTTCTCTTGCACGCTGTACTGGGGGCCCTGCAGTGTGAGTGGGAGTGGAGGCAGACGACTTGGGGAGGCCCGGGACCTCAGGGAGGAAGCACCGTTTGGTGAGGGCAGGGGAACTCTAACTACTTCCAGCCGGCCAGCCGTGAACTCCCGTTCTAAGTGGCCCAAGTCCGCATAGTACTGTCCAAGGTAGAAGACCTGCTGCACCGCCCAGTGGGCGGGGTCCAGGGCCCTGTGGTCCAACAGCAGCTCCAGCCCGACAGGGTGCAGGAAAATGCCAGCACCTGAGATGTTATGGAAGAGGCCCATCCAGGTGGCACGGTCCCCTGAGCGTAAGCCACGGGGGGTGGCGTGCAAGGATGACAAAGTGGAGCCGTTATAGTTGAGGACAGAAGCCAGGAAGACCGGTGCCTTGCGGAACTCCACCTCGTTCAGATGCCTCCACATCTGGGCGTACTCAGCGGCCAGCATGGGCCGTCGGTGGTAGGGCAGGGGGCCCCCGTGGCGCTCCACGGTCACATCCCGCAGGTAGGATGGGCGGGGCAGTGGCCCCACCACCAGCTCACTCACATTGGGCTGGGCTTGTCCACCAAACAAGACGATGGCCAGGGCTTCCCTGGCAGGCGGGGGGTGGCCCCTGTCCAGGTGAGCTAGGGCTGCTGCCTTGGGGGGCAGCTGCAGCTCCACGGAGAAGACGCAGTTGTCTGAGGGCCGGGCCTGAGCTGCATCCACCAGCCTGGGTCCCAGCTGCTGGCTCAGGAAGCGCATCACAGCAGTCAGTTCTTCCCGGCTCAGGTCTGCAAACAGCTGGCTCTGATCACCCTGTGTCCAGGGATGGGCAGTGGGGGGTGCGGAAGGGCAGCGGGGAAACTGGCTGGAACCACCTCGGCTGGTCAGCAGCACATAGGCCAGGGTACAGACGGCGATGAGGGACAGTGCTAGGAGCACAAGGACGGCCTTGATGTTCATGGCTGCACCCCCAGACGCTCCTTCACTGTCCCAGACATAACTCCGGGTTTATATGCACCAGGATGGCCAGGAAGGGAGACTCCACCCCGTGGGTTGGGCAGGAAATTTCTGACCTTGATTTGTATAATTCTGTCGCAATTTTCTGCCCTGTGGTTTGGCTCAAAGAGCCATGCCCACATATATAGCCTTCCCTGCCCCGAGCAGACACGGGCAGTACCAACTACCCATTCCTATCCATTCAGAGCAGTTTAGAGGGTCTCAACACCGAATGCCTTCCATGCAGAACAGCCCTGAGCAAGATTGCAAAACTACTCAGATGCCCATCGAGTCCTGTGTGCCGCTCACAGGCGCTCCCAACTGCCCGCTGCCTGCCTCCTGGCAAGCACTCCATCCCACTATTCCCAGGACCCACTGCCCACTTCACCAGGGAGCCCAGAGTTCTGCCTGCAGCCCGCCGCTGAGACCTGGCCCTGGAGGGTCAGTTCTTCCCTTGCTCTTTGGAAGGGATGAAGGCATCATGCACGGTGCAGCAGGGCCTGGGTTCAGCCAGGACAACAGCCCGGGCCCGGAGCTCTCTGGTCACGGGGGAGGTACTTAACCTGAGCCTTGGGGTCCTGACGTACCGGGCAGGGAATGAACGCCAGCCTAGAGAGTCACGAAGACAGAGCGTGACCACACACATGCTCAGCTGGGGCAGTCAAGCAGGGCGCTCTTGGTACTGAGCTCTGCAGTGCGGGAGAGCGTTTGGCACTGGCAGTGGCCGGGCCTGCCCATC